GAAGAATGCCGCCACGCGTCAGATCGATCTGCCTGTTTTTGTTCGCAGCTTCACGCTGAGTCCCGATCCGATCGGCGCGCGCGATACGGATGAATTAAAGATCGCGGCAAGATATATTGGTATGGCGGCGCGCAATACGCTAAATGAAACGCGGTTCATTATCGATCTTGATGAAACTGCGCTTGCATCTCTCAACCTGCGGTCGCTGGTGTGCACGCGTGCGTGTGCGCCTGTACGTATGCATGTGCATGTGCAGATAATGGCATTGCCGGTTTGTGGTTTGTACCATAGCAGCATTACCTGCCTTAGATGGCTTATTGATTGCCACGACTATGCTCCGTTCTCGCGTTACAACACGAAACACAGAATAAGAATAGTCGTACGCTTCTCGGTTACTCTATCTCTTTACGCCTTAAACGTTCTTTCGGTAGAGTTCACCTTTCCCTTAATTTCGACGAGACGAAAGACGAGTAGAATTATATCGATTAATGACCGGAGACTAAACGAAGATCTTTGCTACAGGTCGGAGTTAAACATTCATAGATCTTGCCGAGGAAGAATCTGATACGAAACTAGCTTGCTCGCCGTGAAATTTATTTGACCGAAGGTAAAAGAGATTCCTGGGAGCCACTCGATACGTGAAACGGCGCAACGCGCGGAACTGGCAAATGTAATTTCGCGAAATGTTTCCATTGATATAAGAAGACTCCGGTACGATGTCTAGGGATAAGGACGACGCCGAAGCAGGAAGAAAGATCGAGGAACAGGCGGGCAAAAGGCGGAGATAGAAAATGGAAGAACGAGAGGAGTCAGGGGTTGGAAACGGAAGGCGCGGCGCGGTGAAGTCGCAGGAAACTGCAAGCTAGACGGGATATATCTTCCGAGTAAATTAAAATGGATTATATATGTCGACTCCATCTTCAATCTTTCTTCTTTTCCTGCCCCGCGTACTTCCGCATTATCGCTCGAGCGCCACGCGCAATTGTTACTGGCTCGAGCGAAACTTTCCTAATGAATTTCTATTCTTTCGTTGAAACCTTCCTTCGTTGTCTTAGATTTTCTGGTAAATTCAGATACTATATATCAACTGCAGTTCGATACCAGTCGGCGAATCGCGGATTATATCGCCAGTTTCGTCGGGAAGAATAATTTCCTACATAGAACAGATTGCTACATACATGTACGACAACACAGAATCCTAAAAGGAGGACAATCCTAGAGAAGACTCTCTCGTAGTTCCAAACATCGTTGCCGAAGCAACGTGTGCGAAGGAAGGAACGAACAGAGAGAAGTGGTAGTAGGTCGGTGGCCACAATTCTGGAAAGCCCAAGTTGGCTGGCATGGAAGGTCGGGACACGGAGTCGACCATGATGTATGCTCCTCTTCCGTCTAATTAAACTTGGGGAGGGTCGCAGAGTTGGTTGGTTGGTCGGTTGGTTGGTACGCTGGCTGGTCGGACAGACGTACGGACGGCCGGTGAGGGGCGGCCGTCGGGATGGCTTTCAAAATGACAGCCAAGGAGCAAGAGAGAAGGAGCGAAAGCGGCTGAAACCCGGTGAGAACTGGCGAACAAGAGACCCACCGGAGAAAGACGTCGCTTCTCCCAACCTCTCGTCGGTACAACCGGAACGATTTCGTACACTGACGGCGTTACGACGTTCCCGCTGTTTGAACATCCTTGTATCGAATTAACGTCGACCCTTTCTATTCGCGAGCACGTCTAAATTATTCATGTTCTAAGCGGCTTCCAGACGACAAATAAATCACCGATCTGGCGTCGTGTCCCGAACGCTATTTACAAGTTCCTGGGTTAAACGGCTCTTTCCCGGCGCGACTTTCACCCCGTTGACCGTGACTTTCCCGTTCAGTTTTCGCGTTTTACACGACGCACGTCGCGAAACTTCTCGACCAGAGTCAACATCCCCACTAGCTGTGTTACGATATTTAGTGACACAAAGAAGAAGAAGCTAGACCGTAGAACATCAGACTGCGTCTAACGCAAGCCAACTAAGCGTAGCCACTCCGCCTCCATCAAATTAATTTAATGTATACTCGGTCGTACAAGACTCGGCTGACAACTCTTCGCGTCTACCAATCGTGCAGCTTTCCATGCAACATATTCGTCTCCTTTGATCTAACATCGGCCAAAACACATTAGTTTTTCCCTTTTCATCGTCTACGACCGCGACAAGCGCTTTTATCCGAACTGACCGCCACGTTCCTTATTCAATCGTAGTCATCTATATATGGCTGTATATAAACTATGTCTATGTACTATCTGATGCCGCTTTCCCGCTCCTGTAGCTCTCTCTCTCTCTCTCTTTCTCTTTCTCTTTTTTTCTTTCTTTCGCTCTGCGTCAATGCGGAACGCGAGATTGGCGTTGGCTTTCTCGAACGGGAACAGGTTATTGGCGAGCTCCGACGAATTCCTTGGCGCGGGTCCCCGTGATTCCGAAATGTTTCGCCGACGGGGTGAAACGACGTGGCCGGTGGCCTGCTACGATCTGGAATTCTCGATGAAAACGACGCGACGCCCGACCACGACCACGACAAGACACGATGGAACGAACGACAACGTCGCGTTCGCTTTCACGGTGATAAATTTACCGAAGCGAACAGCTTGGTATTCAAGTTCGACCGTTACTCGATTTATTTGCGCTTTAACGTGACACAATAAGCAACCAGAGAGACACTGCCTGCCGATGAAAGTAGATATCGAATATGTAGAATATATAGATATAATGACATTAAGGTACATCGAAGAAAAAGTAGAGAAGCAGAATGGTGAAAATTCGTGCGAAAGCAGCTTGTACCGTGATTGAGCCACACTCGTTTCAGACATCTGTTCCGCAATAATTACCGACGAAACGGTCCCGCGGGGTGAACAAGGAGAATGTTAGCCCTTGTTGCGGTCGTAAGTCATCGCGAGAGAAAGATTAGGACGCTAAATCAAGGCTGTTGAGGCCGTAATTCGTTTGCTGGAAAAAGGGAACGTCGGAAGGAGCTCTTTAAGAGACTGCCACTCGAGTGAATACACACTTGGCTCGAGTCAGTTACTCTTTTAAGCCGTAATATGTATCCAGTGCGCCGAATGAATTCTGGTTCATGATATAGTTGCTTAATCGCTCGTAATAGAGCCGAGACGAATGTCTGACCAAGACGACCGTCACGAAAAACCGCTGTAATTTCTGGCAGTGAATATCGCGTAATAGTACAGCCATGGAGTATCAGACTTGCAACGAATTCTGCGAGTATATCCCTCATGAAAATTATTTTTATCTTCTAAACGTACTTATCGATACTTTGGTCACGCGATTAGATTGCTGAAGAAACAGGATCCTTCTAATCAATTAAACTCCGCTTCTATCGTCGAAAATCGTTTGTGAATAGTTTTCTTTCATATCGTTTGTGTGAACAAAATGTACATGGTGCTCTTCTCGACAAATCAGTGTCATAAACTACACAGCAGATCACACACTTTCGTTTTTATTTTACGTACGATTGGTAGTTTCTGATCTAACATAGGAATGATATCGGCGTCTTTATATAAACCATAGATTGTATATACCATACTAAGAAGGCATTATCACCTTGCTTCTAAATTATGTAGCGAAAGTGTTATCTTGTAACATTCCGTTCACATTACCTCGATATACCGCGAATCTAATCTCCCGAGTGAATAATAATTTCCAACAAGTTCGTTGGTTGCTACTCGTGATAGTACGTATTACCACTGAATGCTATTCATGATCCACAATATTTGCGAACTATTCGCCAACTCTAGCGCGAAAGCAGCTAAATAACATTTCGCAAAATCGCCAGCTAAAGGAACCTAAAACGACCGAGTACTTGAAGAGCATCAACACAGAGACACATTCTGGAGTAACATTAAAATCCTTTCAAGCACCGCCGCGTTAACCTGCTGCAAGCTCTGGAGAACGCGATTAACCGAATAAGAGGAAGGCCGCGGTCGCGGTATCAGGGGGCGAAGCTCGTCTTTTCACGACGCGCGATATCGTCATCGCGCAAACAGCGTATATGCATTAAACCATGAACCTACTATCCCCGACGTCATATCCAATACACGTTGTTAGGGGGTTGGTGAAGCCGGCGCTAGAGAAGCGTAGAGAAAGCGGGGTATCGGGGGACGCGGACGGTGTGCTGGTTGCGGGGTGGTTTCGAGGGTAGCTGCCAACCCTCCCCCCCGGTGCGGTAATGGCATTAACCGAGCTGCAATATGATTACCGCTCTCGCAAGGTAACCTGATCACACCCGAAATCTATGGGGTGTCCGTAGTATGAGGGACAATGTACCGTGCTCCGAATTGCCGCGCGCAACGTTACGCAACCGCGGCCACCGGCAACCAGCGCGCAACATTCTCTCTCTCTCACTCTCTTTTCTCCCTTCCCGGTCCCTTTAATCGCGTTGCGCTTTTTGCGGCTCAGATTACCCGTGAATCATTAGATGGCCGAGGACCCGGTGGGTTACGAGCAGAGGAGGCACCGCGGCCACCGCTCCTTATCTTGGCATTAGGAGATTAGTACGTCCCTCTGCTCTCGAACGCGTTTTTCCGTCTTCGCCTTTGCTTTTTCTTTTTCTCATCGTTCCCCGAGCTTAACTCCAGCGCCGGGTAAAAGCAATTTAGGAAATGTTTCTTTTTGCCACGACGTTTCGTTGCGTCGTTTATCTTCGCTTCTCGGTTTTAAGCGCCGCTTGATAAGTGAATAATCGTTTGGAAACGATATTTAAACGGATAGGTTTTCACTTGCTTTACTACCGTTATTGCAAGGGAGAAACTTAGGTAGGTTTCTTCCATGTAGATCACGTTTGTGTACGGTTTGTAATAAGAAGATATACGAGTGAGAGTCAGAGCGATCGTTGACGAAGACGACGAACGATGTCGTTTGTCGTTGCCTGACGACGCGTGTGAAAGACTCACGGACCGAGAAACGTCATGGAGACGTGCGATGCACGATGAAAGATATATGCAAAAGACTTACCGTGAGGTGTTGAAACAGCCACGCCCTGAGGATATTGGTCGCGACTTTGGGGAAGATGCCCCTCTTCTTCTGGTTCTTCTTACCCGATGAATCGTCGTCTTCCTCACCGGTGCCCTCGCCGCTGCCGATACTCGCGTTACTCGCGTCACCTGTAACCAAACGAAATTCGATCACATTAATCTTCTATTAAAAATCACCGAAAAAATTTGAAACGATTAAAAATAACAATTGATTAACGTACGATAACGTGCCATTTAAATATTGGTAGATAGCATAAAGAATCAAATCTGTTCCTAGAAATAGAAGAGCTTTCGATCGTATCATGAACTTGGTCTAAGAACAAGCTCTAACAACAATAAAACTTAACATAGATATAAAAAATTACAACGATCACTTCGTACGTCACCCTTTTTAGAACCGAAATATATTTCGAATGTATTATTAAGGGTGAGATTTTAAAGTACTTTAAACCACGTCCCGATTTTCAGCGCAAAGTAGACTGAGCGCGATAACTGCCTCACCCCTATGACCGGTTCCCATGCATACAAACACCATTAAGCCACCCGCAATCACCCTGTCCCTCTTTCTCCGGCTGGCCCCCCTAAACGTTCTAGCCCCGATTCTGATGCCGTGCCTCTGCCCCCCATCCCTCGCTTTCATCCCCTGGGCGCATTAATTCCCCGTCATTTATCAATCTTAGCTTTTTAATTGCACGGTCACCGGGGACTCGAGCAGCGAGACGGTAATGAGAGATATTAAGACGGCTTACGGTCACGCTTTGCCGAAGCAAATATCATTTTTATAAATTATCAGGCCGGAGCCATTTCCAGGTATCCTCCCCGTTCATTTCTATCCCCTTTTTCCGTCAGATCCATTCCTCGCATTAATTAAGAGCCGAGCTGATGAACTCGTCCGGCGCTGCCGGCTGGGTGAAAATTGATGCTTTCGAGAAAGCCACTCGATGCTATTTTTTGCGAAGTCAGCATATTATACAATCAGAACTTGCCTAAGTATCACAAAACAACTCGGATCGTTTTTGTTCAGTTACACATAACGCCAAGGCTGTAGCGATGAATCAAACATTCGAACATTACAATGCATATGCTCAAAAAAATCTGTATATCGGCACGTTCGGTTACATTGACGCCATTGAGTTCGTCAGAATGTCGGTATCGTCCACCGTATACGCATCCACCGTAACCATAGCCTTAAACGTTTACTTCTGAAACTAGTAAGTAGAATAGAAACATCCTGGTCAGATACTTGGTCCCGTATTCGAAACCAAATCACTCGCTTTCTAAACGAATTCTTCGTTAGAAATTGCACTAAATTCAAGTCGATTATGTACTGGGCTATCGCTCGCTAGGTGGTACATAAAAATAGTAACGAACGATTGAATCGGAGCAGCAGTAAACGCGATCATCAAAATTCAGCTGGCGTACCGATCGATCTCGTTTGAAACGGCCGGAAGTTCGAGGTTTCCTTTATTCTTATTCCTTTCCCTCTCTCTCTCTCTCTCTCTCTCTCTCTCTCTCTCTTTCCCTGTGGATTGGCGCGGAAGGAGAACGGCAGGCTACTTACGCCGACGGATTATAAATGACCGAGCCTTATCGTGCCGCCCAAGGCTCCGGTTCCCAAGGTTCTATCGTAACAGAGAGATCAGGGTGAGCCTCGGTGCTCCCGGGGGTTTCACGATGACAGGTCGCCCGGGGCGCCAACCCAATATCGCCACCAACGCCACCACCCCTCGAGAGCCGAGGAACGGTCTCGTGACCGAGATTAACTTTGAATTCGTCCGGCGAAAAGGGTGGCCAGCAGCAGGACGAAAAATTTGTCCGTCGTAGGAGCGGACGGAGCGAAACGGCGGGAGATCGATGGAAATTGGAGCCGTGTACGACGTATCTTCGCGTTCGCCATTCTCTCCGGCAACGATCAAGGACTGGAGAAAACCAAAGGGAAAAGCGATCGACTTCGATCAGCCTCCGTGGACCACCTGCCATTCGATTTCACCGACGGGATTTCGGATCTGACGGCGTATTTCACCGTACGAAATAATCGACAAGCGGATCGCACGAATGTTTAATTAAGAATGGCGAATTCTTTTGAACGTGTGGCTTTCGAACTACAATCGCCATGGCTAGATCGACAGTAATTCGACAGTAATTCGATACATTCCCTGAGAAGACAATTTATATTATATCCTTCGAGATCGGATAATTGTTTGTCAGGATACGATTTCTATAATCGTTTCTACGGACTACTCAGAAATTAATGTTCGCGTGATTTCCCCATTAATAAAGTGACAAATTTTAGGCTGTAAGAAAATTGTATAATAGAACTTAATTACCTGTACTCCGTTTATATTTACTTATCAAACGAAATTTTAGTTATTACTCGATTAATTGCGCTACTAGAACTTCTATTACACGGATGTGAAGAGAGGGAACATAGAGAGGGAAATTGATGAATCCCTATTACATGAATCCCAGTTATATAAATTGTTTGTCTCCCGACAAGTTCCAGTAAGCGTATTTCTACCGCATTTATATTTTTCTGCTCCCATAACGTGACCAGACATATCTACAATAGGTAAATAACTCTCTCTTCTCTTCAATATATCAAAGATTCGCGGAGAAATCTGGTGAATCTACATCTCGGACTAGCCACGATTTATCCTAGAATCGCAAATTGCTTCTAATGTATCTAACTAAATGTAGAAATCAGTGCGATGGAACGTGCAGATAGAACGGGTATAGACCGCGGTGCAGGAAGACTAGGCTCATGCAATCGCGCAATAACGGCCAAGAAATCACGTCATCACAGCGAGCCATCACGGTTGGATTCACAAGGAGCCAGGAGTCTTGGCGTCGATCCGTTTCCCTCTCTGGAGTAGGACGCTTGTTTTCGTCCGGGGAACAAGAGAGAGCCGTTCGTGGTGGTCCTTGTGTTCACAACACAAAAACGACGTTAGGTCCTCTCTCGATTCCTCGTCGACCAACGTTGTTCCACGGGCTGTAATGGTGAGCCCGTACTGGAGAATAGGGCGGTCTAGAGGCGCGCGGAACGGCTAGCAACCGGCTAACGGAATAACGGAATGGCCAGCGGACCGTCCCCCTGATTGCAGTTAATTTACTCGGTGAATCGAGTTAATGTAGCGTGCCGATCGTACGCTGCCGTTACCGTGCCCTGACGTATCGGTCGAAGAAGCCGTGCTCTCCGGCTCCTGCTCGTCAGGAATTTCTCATTTCCGCGAGAGAGAAACTAATCCCACCGAAAAACGAACCTTCCCATCCTGAGCGGCTACAAGAAACGGAAGACGGACGTCGCGAACTAGACACCAACGCTAAAGAGATACGTTTTCCAAGGAGACGTGGAATGCTCCGATTGTTTTCAGACAGGAAGGAAAAAGGTAGAATAATGGAATTACTCGAACTAAGGTTGCGTTTGATCAGAGTTATGTGAAAGAAATACCGTGTCCTATTCATCGACAATAATGTGGAGAACGTGTTAAAGGAACGCACTTTTCAGCACGTGGAATATTTCGAACGTTTTCAGAAACGAAGATGAAGAAATAATGGAAGAAGGTTACGTTTGATTAAAATCCTGTATCGTAAATGCCGACTAATATTCACCGTCGATGATTAAAGCGAGTTGCTTCTTGTTTATATGTATCGTTTTATCTAAAGCATTAAGGTAACTAGAAGTGCTAGGCTAAAGGATACGCACCTAGCGCACGATGCATCTAATTTCCCACCATTCTAGAGCAATTAAGACCCGGCAATTAAGAATCCTGGCAAGGAGAATCCGGGTCTGTATAGTTTGCGCATGTCGTTTCGCAATTTTACATCCGCAGTTTTGCACATGAACTTCAGTACGCGTGAACCAAGGTTCGAACTGCGATAGGTATCATCATCAGTGAAGAAAGTACCATGAGATCATAACATGCATCAATTAGGCTTCGATATTTAGATGTCTAAATGTCGCAGTAGTGGAATCGACAGAAACCTAAATACATACATAAAGGTTAATATCTTAAAAAGAAAGTCTTTATGGAGTATAATATAGTCCGAATTAAATCTGTATGGAAAATTACGCATACCGCATTAGCTGAAACTGCATGAATCAGAAAGCTACTCGATACTTAGCCACACGACCTCGCTACGCTACTACTTAATAACGTTCTCGTTTATAATCCAGTCACGGCGCTATTCACGCGTGACCAACTACCCACGTCCTGTCAATCATCGAAACCACATTTGTCTACCTTCCGATCCTATTCAATGACCAACCGCTACCCCAATTTGATTCTCGATCGCCTTAAAATACCTCAAACACATTGCGAAACATTGCTCGAAGCAGAAACAAGTGTCTCCTCGGTGTAACCAGGCAACAACCATAGGAAATTAAACGCGTGCAGGCATCGGGATGAAATTTAACGCGGCGATAAATTCCAGGGCGGAAAGTCGCGAAAATTGTGGATGGCATGCGCTGGTGCACGCGTGCACGCGCGCGTTCCCTCTACGACGCGTTTACGAGCGACACACAGCGGCCAACGCCATGGTGGGAGCTATATCGTCCTCGTGTTGATTTACCGCGGCGCACCGCGCATTTTTACTGCCACGTTATAGAGATTTAAGTGTAGCCAATTATACGTTTACGCCGTTCCTGTTCCCCCTGGTGCCGGGAACATCAGACGATGGAGAGGATCGTCACGTTCTGGGACCAACGCGGATGCAAGAGAGAACACCGATTCCCTTCTTTCTCCTTCTTAGCTTCTTTCTTTCGAAAGCTTTCACGAGCTATATTTAGTCGATGGGTCAAGAATAAGCGAAGTCTCACGTCGGCCTGACTATACGCTATTTCGGGGGACACGGTGAAAACACGCGGTCTCTACGCCGAACTGGTTGCCATCGGGGAAACAATCTTTTCTGCTTTGGTATTCGTACCGATGATAAGAGCGCTACGATTGTAGACATCTTTTATGAGTATATTAAAAAGGCGTTGGCACCCTGACCTTCCAATGAAGCGTATTTTTATCAGGTTCTAGGTTGCATTTTCGTATCAAATTTTGGTAGACGTATGAGAGCCCTATTAAATGATACGAAATGCAATATTCTTGGACTTAAATAATTAGTATGTAAATTCTATA